GTACAATGGTCCGTAGTAATTAATTAGACTAATCGTGCTTCAATAAACTCAAAATTTACAGAGATTATAGCTAACACATGTACGTGTCTATGTGTATCTAGATTTCTAGAAATGTAACTCAAATCGTTCGCGCCATATGATAATTTAATTGTACACTTTCTTACGGCCATAGCCGTGCGTATCCATTTGGAAACAACATTTCGTCCAGCGACCACGTGACCGATTTTTTCCGACTCGTCATGGCGCAACTCTCTGTATATATAGGGACCCTAGACTACTGTACACACAAAAACTTTGTGAGCTTCATGGCTATATCTTTCCAGTTTTTGTCTAATTCAAGTCTTGAAATAACCTTCTAGACCATGAACACAACTGTAAATGTATTTAGGCAAGTTTCATTAAAAAATGGTGCGTAACGGACATGACACTTTCTGTGTAACGGATGTGACAGTTTGTTCGCTTTGTTCCAAGCTATCATACTTTCTTCTGATTTCTGTAGAAGTTATGCCTTCATGTAGTATGAAAATAGTAGTCTGATTTATCTGACAGGTAATTCAAGCGAATTTATTACTTTATGAAGTACTTACTAACCTTAGATAGTTCCAAACTGGGTTTATTCTAAACACGAACCTTTCTCCGCTATTCTGGGACTTACTATGTATCACAATACTCTGTATTAAACTAATATAACGTGTTACAAAATTTTGAAGCGACGAGCGGCGATATTTCGAGCACCATTTCTGTTGACCTGTGATGTATGCATTAGTTTAATACAGAGTATTGTGATACATAATAAGTCCCAGGATAGCGGAGAAAGGTTCGTGTTTAGAATAAACTCAGTTTGGAAGTTCTAGTCTCGAAAAACGCACCATAAAACTGCCCTGCGTGAATCACTCAGGGGCTCCTCCAAAGAAAAGAATATGCTTGCGTTGTAACCCTACTCTTGTTGGGTTACATTATTGTATCTATACTACGACGTGATTGGCTAATTTATATTAATAAAATAGCATGTCAAAGAAATATACCTAAAACTATTTTAATTTGTAAAATATTTGTAAATGTACCTTTTTTAATTGTGTTTTCAATGAGCCTCAGCATCAGTGTTATGATGAAAGTCAGTACATTCGTTTGATTTAAAGGAATAATAGGTCCATTGATTATGCAATGTTGACGAATGCTGGGGTAACTGGCACCTTGTGTAGTTAATAAACTTGTACATTACCTTATAGCCAAATGCGTATTAGTTTGTCCGATATCACTGCTGGTTACATTACAAACAAGACTTGAAATCGGATGTATCAACGTATCATTTACGTGCTGTAAATGTGATCCAGGAGTCAAGCGATTACGTAAACATTTGTGCGGCTCGTATGTTTTGGGCGCCAGATGAAAAGGAGGTGTCAGCGGTGTAGCTACGGCCATGGACTAAACATGGAAATAGAGTAAAGCATACGTAGTAATCACGGACGCACGTGGACAGCCCTGACAAAAAGTTCCTTATCACAAGCATCCATGTTTATGAGGCCGAGCGTGCGTGCGAAAATGTCCGGTGCACTATAAATCTGTATCACAACCCGCTTTGCCGGCAGCGGTTTGAAACTGTAAACAACTGATTTTTGTACTGCGGATTTCAATTAGACATTTCTTAGTAACCAGCACTGCTGGTCCAGCAGTGATATTGGACAAACTAATACGTGTTTGGCTATAAGGTAATGTACTTATTAACTACACAAGGTACCAGTTACTCTAGCATTCGTCAACATTGCATAATCAATGGACCTATTATTCCTTTAAAATATGAAAATCTACATGAAACTGGGCAATTAATGTTTTTACTTGAGTGAACGTTTTTCGTGAAATTGCCCATATAATAACACAGTACACAATCTATCAGGGTTCTCCCCAGGATGAAATTGAAACAGGGGGAGGGGAGGAGGGAGAGGGCGAGAAGGTGGAGGAGGAGGAGGAGAGAAAGAGGAGGAGGAGGAGGAGAGAAGGAGGAGGAAGAGGAGGAGAAGGAGAGGAGGTGGAGGAGGAGGAGGAGGGGAGAACGTGGGGAGAAGGTGATGGGGAAGAGGAGGGGGAGAAGGTGGAGGAGGAGGAGGAGGAGGATGGGAGAAGGTGGAGGAGGAGGAGAAGAAGGAGGAGGAGGAGAGGAGGAGAGGAGGTAGAGGAGGTAGAGGAGGAGGAGGGGAGAAGGTGGAGGAGAAGGAGTAGGAGGAGGAGAAGGTTGAGAAGGAAGAGGAGAGGAGGAAAGAAGGAGAGGAGGTGAAGGAGGAAAAAGAGGAAAAGGGGAGAGGAGGTGGATAGGAGGAGGGGGAGAATGTGGTGGGGAGAAGGTGGTGGAGAAATGGAGGGGGAGAAGGTGGATGAGGAGGAGGTAGAGAAGGGAGGAGGTAGCTGCGGGCCAGGTGGTGAAGAAGGAGGGGAGAAGGTGGTGGAGGAGGAGGAGAGGAGGAGAGGAGGTGGAGAAGGAGGAGGAGTAAGAGAGGAGGTGGAGGAGGAGGAGGAGGAGAAGGTGTGGAGAAGGTGGTGGAGGAAGAGGAGGGGGAGAAGGCGGAAGAGGAAGAGGAGGAGGAGGAGGAGGAGGAGGAGGAGGAGAGGAGGAGAGGAGGTGGAGGAGGGAGGAGGTAGAGGAGGGCGCCTCTACCTCCTCCTCTCCTCCTCCTCCATCACATTCTCCCTTCCTCCTCTTCCTCCTCCCTCAACCATCACCTGCAGTTCCTCTACCTCCTCATCTCCCCCTCCTACTCCTCCTCCTCCACTACCTTCTCCGTCGTCCTTCATCTCCTCCTCTAAATGTCCAGGGGGTAAATGTCCGGGGGGTAATTGTCCGAGCGGTAAATGTCCGGGGGGAAATTGTCTGGGGAGTGATTGTCTGGGGGGTAATTGTCCGGGCAGGGGCGAGTACAGGATATGTACCAGGGGGGGGGGTCTAACCGTAGCCCAAACTTGCAAGCACGCGAAGGGGGGGTCTGGGTCTGGCCCCCCCCCAGAAAAATTTTGAAATTACACCCCTTAGATGCGTTTTCTGCGCGAACAAGGGGGGTCCGGACGCTCTGGACCCCCCCCTCTCCCTGTACACGCCCCTGCCGGGGGGTGATTGTCTGGAGGGTAAATGTCTGGGGGGTGATTGTCCGGAGGGTAAATGTTTGGGGGGTGATTGTCCGGAGGGTAAATGTCCAGGAGGTAATTGTCCGGGGGTGAATGGCATGGGAGGCGTAAATGTCCGTGGGCGTTAATTGTTTTCTGGGTCGGGGTTGAAATGTCACGGAGGGTGATTGTCCGCCGGGGTAAATTTCCGGGGGTAATTGTTCTGGGGGTGATTGTCAGGGAGGTAATTGTCGGGGCTTTGGGGGGGCGTCCGCCGGCCGTCCACCGGGAATGGCTATTGGTTTTTGGTAATGTCGGCGGGTATATTGTCCTGATACGTTAGTATATAGATCATGCTAAGGATATCTATGGTTGGTTCGACCGAGTACGTGCGTTTGGGTACGGCCTGATGTGGCCGCTACACGCGTGCGCGCACGCCATGTGTGTTAAAATCGTTGAGGCACATATTACGAGCTAGAGCAATTACAATTTTGTCAGATGCATCGATAATCTCATAACTCGCCTCGACGCTACTATTTTAATTTATTTCATAGCCTTTTGTCCAGCCTTGCAGATACATCATGTCATTGATGAGGATTTTTTCAGAACTCCGCATCTTTTCTCAGTCAAAAGCCTAGGCTTTTCACACGCAATCGCCCAACATCTCGACCCAACGCGCTCAATGCCCGATAATACCATTACACTTCGTTTTTCCGAATGGGCCGAAGGCTTTGCGAATGGGTTCTCGCACACGATTGCGCCTCCTGTCGCAATGATAACGCATCAGCAATGGCCGTCGTAAGCCGCCTTTCGCTGACGTCATATTTCGTTGATTGCTGTTAAGCCCCATCATCTATCCGCGCCTTAGCAGTAGCACAGCGTAGAGAGTCGCTGCAGCTCCCCCCCCCCCCCCCCCGCCCGCAGATCGATGATATGGCGGCGCTCGATCTTAGTTATGTACCGTGACAATATTGATATTCGTACAGTATGCGAGACATCATGCTTGAACCCAATTCACTTGCTCTTGTGAAAGCTTTGACCTATTGTCATTACGCCTAGAGGGTTGTTATTCACTTGACGACTGTATCAGTATACGTCGATCGAATACGTAGCACCGTACATTGGAAGTAATCCGCAGCCTCCTAAGCTCACACAGGCGCTTACATTTTCCCCGCCCCCGAGCGGTACATTCTGCGTGTGTGAACATGCAAA